AAACACAACTGATAATTATATATAGCTACAGGGTTTCCCAGACTATTTTGAGTGAGCTTTAATATTTTGTGTCTTACAAGGAATGTGTCTATTTCTTGTGCCCTTTACAATTTCTTGGCATAAAGTGGCTCATATTGCAAATACTTTATATTTTGATGTGTTTATTTTTGGCAGTGTCGGGGGCTGAACTGAGGTCTGAGCTGTGCCCCCGCACTGGTTCTGTTTTTGAGGCAGTGTCCGTAGCAATGTGATGCTGTTTCTCTCACTTTGCCACTGAGTCTTCTGCCTTCGTTTTTTTCTTGATTTGTCTGGCTAAAGGTTTAGTCTTTTTACTGATCTCAAAAAACCAGTTTTGGGGTTCACTGATCTCCTTTTCGTTGTTTTTGATTTCATTGAAATATTTCATTGGTTTTTTTATTTCCTGTCTTTTGCTCTTTTCTTTTAGCTGTATAGCTGGGTGTCGTTTGATTGCTCTCGGCTGACCCGGAGCCTGGCTCAGCCAGCAGAAGTTGGGAGCCAGCTGTGTGAGACTCGGCCCCCAGGCTGCCGAGCTTGGGAGGACCGAGCAACAGAAGGCCCGGTCCTCTGGGCACAGTCCGTGCTCTGAGCCCGGTCCCCCAGCTGGCCTGGAAAGTGAAGTCAGAGCTCACCTCTCATTGCCTTCTCACCAGTATTAATAGCATAACTGTTTAACATAGTCACTACAGATAGCCCTTGTTTTGTCTTGCCAAGCGGTGGGAAACTTAGTTAAAAGAATTTTTTATGAGACAGAATCTGCTGTGTTGTCCAGGCTGGCCTTGCACTTGTGACCTCTTGGCTGGGCTTCTGATTAGCTGGGTTTACAGGTGCATACCACTGCAGCGGGCCAGGAAACCACTTTTTAACTGGCATCTCTATTCAATTAAACTCATTAAAAAAGCAGGGTACCACAACTGAATGCAGATGTCTTGTGCTCTGGGTGAATGATGTGGGGATGACAGTGCACAATGTATGCACCATTGTTGTCTGATTGACGTGTTTTGAAATTTTGAAAAAAAAAAACAAACAAACCAAAAAGCAAACCCAGGGTGGCTACTCTCAGTGCCTGGCCTGATGTCAGGTGTTAGGTGTAAGGAGATGATGTCATGGCCTTTACGTAAATCTGCAATTTGTGACCTCTCACCCTATGGCAGCCTGCAGGTCCAGTCAGTTTTGGATGGAATTTAGGTTCAACATAAATCTGTAAGTCACAGAATTACAGAGCTGGTGAACTCTGGGAGCTCACATTGGAGACAGGGAGGCAGAGGCCAGAGAGGCCGCAGCAGGGTGGCTGCCCTGGGAGCTCAGTGGCCCCAGCAGGCAGAGACAGCCACCTGCAGACCGATCTATTTACTTACTTGGCACTGGAGATTGAACCCAGGGAGCCCTGAGCTACCGGTACATCCCAGCCCTTAAAAAATTTCTTGCAGTGCTATGTGCCATGTCTGATGCTATTATAATGTTAAGTGACACCACTGCTCTTCTTCCACTGTCACTGTTCCTAGTCTCCGACAGTTCTCCAGTTGCTTGTAACACGCCAGCCCCCGCCTGGGACTGACGTCGTGCTTTTGCTGAGGTAGAAATGGCAAGTTGGGCTTCCTGTCAGGCGCTGTCCCTGGCTGACGACCTCGAGTCTTTACGAGAGGCCAGCAGCTACCTCACACCTCACGGGGCCTCCGGGCCTCAGCGAGGCTGTCAGTGGGGTCTGGCGAAGGACTCAGATGCCTGAGCTGCTGGGGGTCACGGAGGTGTCTGGCAGTGAATGAGCCTCTTTCCCTGATGTCCTTCCCTCAGGAGAGCCCACTTCTGCATGCCCCGGTGCCCCCTGCCTGCTGTCCGCCTCCCCAACTTGTCCTGGACCCCCATGCACTGCCAGGGCAGCAAGCACTTGGGGTGGGTGAGGCTCGCTTCCAGCAGCCGGTAGCTGTTGAGCTCTGCCTAAGACAGCCACTGACCAAACACTCACATTTTAAAGAAATTATTTGAATTTATTGTTTGCTTTAATAGGAAACATACATTCAAGTTTTTTTCTCAGCCAAAGGTTAAAAATGTTACTCACCTGATGAAAGCATATGGGAAACATCTCAAACTGCAATGCTTGACCTTTTTATTGCGGAGTAGAATTCATTTTGCAAACACAAAGATGGCAAGAAAAGATTAATGTGTTATTGCTACTGAAGGGAAGAAAACAGACCCAGATGACAGCATAGAAACATCACAAACGTCCCCTTAGAGCTGTGAGTCTAATTCAGCACGTACCTTTTGGTCCCTAAGTAAATGAGTGTTCTGCCTTTCTGGCCCCTCTAGGCTTGTTTGTTAGCCCAGGCCTGTTTCTACACTGCTATCCGAGAGGGCACCAGACATGAGGCTGGCTCTCCTGTGGCTGCATGAACAGGCTCTGCACTGCTGTGTGGCCGTGCCCAGTAGCCTACTCCAGGGCACAGAAGCACTGCTGAGGCTGGGCCGCACAGCGGTGCTTTGCAAACCTGCGTCACGGCACTGACAAAGGCTCTGCTTGCGTGGCTGGTTATTGTTTTTCATTTTTCACTGCAGGAAGCTGAGACGTGTATCAAGGTGGAGGCTCACGTAGCTTGCTCTCATGCATCTGCTCCCAGATTCCACATGTGAGTGAGTCGAATTTTTCTGTCATTTGATCCCACCAGTGGCTGTCTCTCGGCAGTGTTGGGGTCGGGCAGCTGGCACATCCTAGGCAAGTGCTGCACCACCGAGCTCCTTCCCCTGCCCCATCTGTGATTCGCTAGTATTTGCTGATGTATTTTACTTATTAGTGGTTTTTTCTTGACATGACACTTTTGGAAAGTGTCACTATGCAATTCAGGCTGGCCTTGAACTCAGTGATCCTCCTGCCTCAGCCTCCTGAGCCTTGGTGATGTATTTTATTATTTTTATTAGTGATGTATTTTTTAAAGTACTTACTAAATATCATTTAATACCCACATAATGGCATCCACATAACTGAAACTAGGCATCTTCCTCAGTGACAACACCGGTATTGTGGGAATTACTGACCTAATAAAATCAGTTCTGTGGTATCACTTAACTCCATCTATGTACAGTGCCCCTGTATGTACCACAGTGCCTTGAGTAAGGGGCTAAGCCAAACCCAGGGGTCTGAGTTGGCTGCTGGACATGGGCTGGGCCTCTGGTGTCCAAACCTGATGTGTGCCCAGGCTGGACCAGCCCTGAGATCTGCTGTGAGTGGACCGCCAAAGCATTGTCACTACATGTTGATGGCTCTCTCTGGACTCCAAACCTTGGTTGTGAGGGGGCAGTGTGCTCCCTGGCCTCCTGTCCCCAGGAGGGATACAGCCGGGGCCAGACTGTGGCCTGACATCAGGGTTTGGGTCCGGCTCTGCTGTTAACTGGCTGTTCCTTAGCCAGCAGTTATACCCTCCGTGCGAGCGCATTACCCCGTCTTGTCCTCCGTGTTGTCACCGATGCGCTGGTAGCCGTGTGAGCTCACAGTGCTCTGTGAGCTTCCGTGAGTCACTGTTAGGACCTGTTGGCTCAAGGTGCAGCCCACAGAAGGTGGCAGGAACCACACCCGCCACAGCCTCTGGCCGGAGGGCGCATCTCTGCACAGCATGACATCCAGGGATAAGCAGGAACAGGTGCCTCGCCTCCCCCACAGCTCAGCTGAGGAAAGCACACCAGGCGGGATGCTGTCACATGCACGTGTAAGCCCTGCTCCTCCAGGGGCTGAGGCAGGAGGACCTCAAGTTCAAAGCCAGCCTCAGCAACTTACCATGCTGCTGTCTCAAAATTCAAAACAGAAAAGGGCCTGGGACATAGCTCAGGGGTGGTGTTTGTCTAACAAGCAAGAGATTCTGTGTCCCATCCTCACTGCCACATAAAAGGTAAATGAATAAAATGAAATGAAAATAAACTCCATCTGCAGATGCCTGGGCTCTTCATCCCCGTCTGCCTGCCCCTCTTGCTCTCCTGGGACACCGCAGGAGCAAAGGGTGGACAAATGCATTTCTCCCCGAAGTTGGCTGTCTCCCCACCCTTCACCAGGGGCCCCATCGACGCTGCCCCCCCCATCCCCCCCCTCCGCGGCTTCACCAGCCACATCGAACTCCGGCTCCACCTACAGGCCACCTGCGGTACAAGACCTGTCCCAATGCCGCGCGGGACCTTGGCGGTGCTCCTCTGGCTCACGGCGGGCTAGCAGAGCCACCCTGATGCGCTGTCATCCACTACGCACAGGGGATGGATGCTTGCATGTGGTGATCAGTCCCAGGCTGTTCAGCTGCACCCACCGCACCCAGCAACCCCACAGCAGACGATGGGCACAGGGGGAGGGGGGCTCATCCCCACCTTGTGGAGGCGGCTGGGGCCCAGGCAATCCCTGCATCGTATGACAGCACAGGGACGCTTGCTGAAGTGAGGAAGGCCGCTGCTTCTGCTCGGCAGCTACAGTCCCACCACCCCGCTTTCCAGCTGGACTCCAGTCCAACCCGGCTTTATACTCTGTCTGTGGCTACGGGAGTCTGTGACTCCTTAGGTGGAGCTGGGAATTAGGCACCAGTCATTCCAAGTTGGCCTAACTAGACGTAAACATCAATTGGCTTTTTGTACTGTTTATTCTACTTTGCGATTTCCAGAAAAAATTTCCACCTAGAGCCCCGTGTGATCCAATGCTCTCTTATTTCCAAAGCGTTTCACAGGCTAAATGCTTTCCACCAGGCATGGTGCTGCACACCTGCAATCTCAGCACTCGGAAGGCTGAGGCAGGAGGATCGCCACAAGATCATGGCCAGCCTAGGCTAGTGAGTACATAGCTAGACTGAACTACATAGTGAGACCTTGCCTCAAAAACCCAACCCCACCTAAATGCTTTGTCCTCTCCTCTTATGATCCGGAGAATAATTCCAAGTTGGAACTTTACATAATTAACACCTCCATATCTCAAATGTAAGAGAGAGGCTCTGAGAGGCCAAGAGACCACACCAGAGCCATTCGTTAAAGGGACATTTATTGAACATCGGAACCCGACTGAGCGCCTGGACCGGGCACCTGCCCCGTGGTGAGCAGCTGCGTCTGGCTCCTCATTCCTGAGGCTCCTGCAGGAAGGTGGTGGGCGAGGCCGTGAGGACCGCTGCCCCACACAAAGGGTATGGCAGGGGACACAGGAAACAGTGCCGAGCGGGGGTGCATCGCACTGTGCATTTATTCAAGACAGTACAGCGACATTCTGCTGAAATTTACAGGCAGACCTTGTGCACTGGGGAGCGCTGTTAATGATGACCATGAGCGGGCGCAGGACTCGAACCTTTTGAAAAGATACATAATATGGATACAATTTAGGAAGGAAGCAGCAGACTGCAGCTAAATAAAACTTACCTTTTAAGCATCAACAAGTCAGAAACTGGGAACCACAATTTTAGTGCTATCAGAAATCACAGAGGGCTGCTCTCTCCGGAACACTGGCCACGTGTACAGGTTCCTGCACAAGGCATCCGCGTGTGGCAGCTCACTGGCAGGCCCTTGGTCTCTACCAAGGGGCAGGAAAGGTCTCTCCCCAAGCCCATGGAGCCAGCTCTGCGTGTGTGTGATACTCACACGACTAGTGTCTTTGTCACCGGGGAAATGAGAAAGAAATAGCCAGCACCAGAGCATGAAGCTATAAGGCGCTGTCACAGCTCATGACAAACACATGATAGTGAGCCTCGCAGCCAGCGAGCTCACCCGCCCTCTCCCTCCTTCTCTTTTCTGTTCTTTTGAGACAGGGTATCCCTGTTAGTTCAGGCTGGCCCTGAACTTGCAGCCATCTTCCTGCCTCAGTCTCCTTTGTGCTTCTTTCCTTCCTTCCTTATTCCTAAAAAGTTTTACTGACCGAAGACAGTAAACAGCAGTCTTTCTAAAAACTATTCCTTTCCTCTCCAGCAGGCATAGCAAACTCCCCCTAGAGTACATTCACTGCTTTTTATGTACTGGCGGAACTTGTATCAGTTCAGTTCTGAACAGTGATATAACCCGTCTTGAAAAGGTGAAATGGTATCCATTTCCAATCATTCTTTTTTTTCTTTGGTACCGGTAATCGAACTCATGACTTTGCACTTGGCAGGCAGGCGCCTATGCCGTTGAGCTAAATCCCTGGCCCTTTCAATCTTTTTTTTTTTTTTTTTTTTTTTTTTGGTCTTTTTGAGGCAGGGTCTCGCTGTGCAGTTCAGGCTGGTCTTGGGCTCACTTTGTAGCCCAGGCTGGTCTCGAACTCACAACGATCCTCCTGCCTTAGCCTCCCGAGTGCTGGGATTACAGGCGTGAGCCACCACGCCTGGCTCCTTTCAATCATTTTAAGAAGCAAAAAAAGAACAAAGTAAAACTTACCTTTTAGGGCTTTATTTCTTTTATCTAAAATAAAAAGGGAAAATTTGTCATATGAGTGCTTTACAAAAATGGCTTTAGTTGATTTGATTCAGTTAAGGTCCAGATTTCCCTGAAGGTGACATAGCTCAGGAAAAGTATTACACTTGTGAGAAGCTTCCAGAAGGTAACAGTTACTGTAGGTCCAACAGCCAAGAGGTGGTAAAGTGTCTACCATGTAAAACACAGTAATCTTACCTCTTTTCTCTCCTAATCAACGGCTCTGTGATACATGATTAGACCTTATTTCTGCTCCACTGAGAACCCAATGGCTATTCCTTATCTCCAAATCTTGTTATGAGGAAATTTCAAATGTTCAGAAGAGTTGAAAAGCACTATGCCTCAGGACAGTACACGCCTACACAGTTCAGCCTATACCTTTTGAGATGAAGGACACCACCCGTGTATGCAAAATATCACTGTCGCATGCAGGACCACTTAATTCCTGGATGTCAGTCTTGCTCTGCAGCCCCCTGCAGAGCCATGCACAGCTGGCCCACACTGGACCCACTCTACAAACGACCACAGTGCCTTGGTAAATGAATTGTGATTCTCTCGGAAAACTTTTCTTCTGGGTGCAAGTATATCAAACCCGCGGGAACTTACCAGCGCTTCTGATTTTATAAACAATGAAGCTCATCAACCCCATTCCTACCCAAATCTCCTGGTAGACTTGGGTATAGTATGGCTTCATAGGGACCCAGACATTTTTAATTAGGCTTTGCAGCATCTGAAAATGAACAGAGTGTTAGACATTAAGATGACTATTGTTCTCAACCTGATTGCTAGAGATTTTCATTTGTTAATGTCACTATTTGCCACAACAGGGAGTTGCTCTGGGGCTAGAGCTATTCTGCCCCCAGCTGGAAGGGGGCCTCTACAGCTTTTCTACCACCTGGGACTTAGGAACTTGTCAGTCCTTCTCCCAGTGCCTGCCACTATGATGCCCTCCCCAGCACACCAGCGCACTATGCTCAAAAGCACACCCTGCTGTTCAGTAGAACCAGCAGCAGCACATTAAGAGCAGCTGGCGTTGGAGGCTGAACACCTCGTGGAACCAACACCTGTGCCTGGTGCACTTAGACCAGCTGTAGCTCAGTTCTGGAGCCTATCCTTAAATACAAAACAGACGGCACAGAAGGAAGCCCCTCCCGTGAAAGAGCTTATTTAATAAGTATTTAATTATCGGACTTGATGGAACTCATTAAATGCTGAATTTATGGTTTGCTTTTCTGTGCAGGTCTCAATGCTTCTAATTACTTTTGCAACTTACCACCAACTCTTCAGGTCTTTTTAGACAGAGTCTCATGCCCAGGTTGGGCTTAAAAAGGAGATCCTCCCGCCTCAGCCTCCCAAGTGTTGGGGATACAGATACATATACTCCCGAGCCTGGCCCTCACTTTTATCTTAACAAGGCTTGGCAACATCAGGCGATCAGGTGGTCATTCCACCAGCTGTCAGGAAGCACAAGGTCCAAGCACGTCTCCTTTCACTCAGACCCCCCACTTTGCCTGCAGTGGGTTTCTCGACTCAGCCACCCTCCACTGCTCCACTCACTGCAGGGAACACACATAGGAGTCTACTCTCTTCAGTGTTCTCTGGGTTTCCACACGCCCTAGCACAGCACTAGATCCTTCAAAGGCTCATCTTATTCTAAGGTCATTGCCTGACCTCTCATCCTTGAAACTTGGGTCGCTACATCATTTATTCACTCAGCAAATGTGAACTGTGCACGTGCAAGGCACAGATAAACAGTCAGGACCAGCGTGCCCTGCGGTCACTGACGCGCTAGAACCCCGAGGTAAGAAGAAATTTAGAGCTGAGAGGAACGGGTTGGCCAGGGAGGCTGCCTGCCTAGAGACAAAGCTGGCCTGACATTAGCTAAAAGTTACCATGCCCCTGCTCCTCATCGTACAAAGAGGATAAAAACTGCAACCACCTCGATGGGCTGTTACGGCTCTTAAGTGAAATGCATCACTTCCTGCCGAGTTTTCATAGTATCTTGGATTAGTATCACGTACTCGTCGTTTAAAACGGTGTGGATGGACTGTGGGAGGGAAGATGGCCCGGATCGCAGGGTCGTGGGGGTCAAACCCGAATTTAGGTTTTTCTACTCCAAGACGTTCCTCACACTGAGCTTAGTAAGTGCTTCACACCTTATCCCGTTCTACTCCCTCCGGAATGGGTACGCGGAAAAAGGCGCCCCAGACCCTGCCCCGGGGTAAGCAGGCCTGAACTCGCAGCACAGGCCTCATTCCGAGGCTCCGCCTCCAAAGCCGGCGTCCGCTCCCGCGCTCTCTCGGGCTGAACGATGGCCCCGAAGGCTGGCCCCGGCGCTGGGGGCGAATCCCGGCCACCCCTCCCGCACCTCCCTTGGTTCCGCAGCCCAGGGCAGAAGCGTAGGTGCGCCGCCGACGGGCAGACTCGAGGTCGGCGCAAGCCTCCGGCCGCGCTCCCATTCCCTTTGCTCTGCGGACCTCCTCGCCCCGCGCCCTCTTGCGTCCCGGCCGCAGCACCCGCTCTCACCTCGGCAGGATCAACCGTCTAGGCCGCACTGTACCCAGCGCACTCTAGAAGGTCACTGACTGCGCAGGCGCCTCGAGGGGCCTGCCGGGAAAGCGGAAGGAGCGTGGCGTCGAAGGTCAGCGCGGCTCCCAGGCCGCGCCTGCGCACTACAGCGCCCCCGGCGGCCGCCCTGGGAGGCTGCAGGAATGGACCCGGGACTGTATGGCCCCAGTGGGCTGGGGATGGGAGCTTTGCGCTCAGCGTGGTGACACAGTGAGGCTAACCTCCAGATTCTACCAGGCCTGATGGGCTCTGCGGACTCGGGATTTTTTACTGCAGATACTGGGAAAGTGCTAGGCGAAAATCACGGGTTGTCAGCTTTAAAAAAGGACTCCTTGTTAAGAGTGAAGTCTCCCTCTCAGTGGCCTTACCTACTGTCTTTTGGATTGTTACCTTTTTGCACGCATATTTTCATGCTGCTCTTCTGTGCATATTAATTTTTCCAAACAGACGATGTAAACACTTCTGCAGGAGCTCCAGACAGAAGCTGGGCCTGTCTCAAAAGTAACCATGTTTACTATGGAGAAAGTGGGAGATCCAGCAGGTATCTAGAAAAACAAAATCACTTAGCTAATTGGTAAAAAAGAAAAAAAATAATTGGATGGGTTTAGCAAAAGATCAGACCCTGGAAGAGTTAAGAGTTGGAGTCAGGAGAGACAGAGCACAGCACAGAGAGAAGGCCTGTGGCACATCCAGCTGGGTTTTCTTCCTTTATTTTGTGCTGTGGATTGAACTCAGGGCTTCCACTGTGCAACATCCCCAGCTCCAGGTGTCAGTGGAGCCTTAGAAGGAAAGGGACAAGAGTTTTTTGTGTATTTTACAGACAGGGTCTTACTGTATAGTTCAGTCTGGCCTTGAACTCACTCTGTGGAAATAAAAGAGTTGGGGCAGAAATATTTAAAGAGATAATGACTGCTGAGAATTTCCCAAAACTGATATTTAAAAAATCAATCCAAGAATTCAAAACCCCTTATGAAAACCAACCAGGCAGATAAATAAACAATCAACACCTAAGCCTCAGAATAAAACATAGCAAACTAAGGACCAGGAAGGGGTGTAGTTCAGTAGGGCAGTACCTGCCTAGCACATACAAGGCCTGAGATTCAATTCCCAGAACTGAAAAAAAAAAATTAAATAACTGTTCATTTAGAATTCTACATATTCAATTCTGAATTAGCATTCAGTAAAGAAAGTGGAATATAGTTTTGGAGAAGCTAACAATGAGTGAATAATTACCACCAGATTCACAGTGCTTTCTTTGAGTTCAGATAAGAGAAGGACCTCAGATGGAAGGAGACACAGGAAAAAATGAAACATGGTCACAATGTAAAGAGGGACAATGCTACGAATGGAATGAAAGTGCACACAAAACTTGAAAAGCCTGTTATTTAAGGGTACTGGTTCTCCAAGTGTGGTGTTTGACAGATCGCATCATGTCCAGAGGGGCAAAGAACAAACTTTCTTAGTTTGTCACTTATTAAAAGCTTAATTTATGTTTTCTTCTAAGACAATCATGGAATTAAAAATCTATTTGTTTCCTAAAAACTGTGACTTTGTTTGGGTCTACAAATACCCAAAAGGTCACTAAAAGTAGAACAAAGCTTGACCCTCATTTTGCAAAAACTCTGGGTCACATTCTTCTCAGTTGTATGTATGGCACGTTAAGTCATTTAGGGGGAGTCTGTTTAGAAGTAGGCAACACCAAGTTTTATTAGCCCTAAATTTACCAAGCCTGTCTCATGTCCCTGCAAGACACGAGAGAACTAAAGTGATTTCCAAGATTCACAGGGACATACAATTGCCAGCTCTTACAACTTCCAGACCTGCTCCCCTTAGAGCAATGCCTGAAAGTCTCCAGCCTCTACCCTGAACTGGTCCCAGGAAAAGCAGACACACTTGACTGAAGCTGCCACACACAGAAACAATCATTTCATGGGAACAGAATCAGTTTCTTCTCCAGGAAGACTGCTCTGGAGCTAAAAAAACAGCACTCCCGTAATAATGGACCAGACCTGGCCCACCATGGTAACCTGTAGAACTGTCCTTTCTTTAATGAGTGGGCTGGCCTGGAGCCCTGCACCAAAGTGTGATGTCTCCAGCCACTCGAGTTGGGGCACTTCCTCTATTTTCTTTCATTCCAATTAACGCTTTAGCCTGTAAATTCACACTATCATTTTAGTTTTAATTTCTATTATTACTAAAGCAAGATCTGGGCACAGTGGTGTATACCTGTAATCCCAGTACTCAGGGGGTTGAGGCAGGAGGAGTTCTCTGAGCCTAAACTACTAACCAGTGAGAGCCTGAAGGCTTTAAGACCACTGGGCTCTAATCTCCTAAGGTTTGTTATTCACTAGGGTTCCCTCATGGGCAGAGTGATGTTTTCCAGAGGCCTTGTGACTTCTACTGTGGGGAGCACCAAGAACACTACTGAATCAGGTGGGGCATTCTGGAGTCACTGGGTCTGGGATTACACAGAAAGCGAACTGGTGTTTAGTCAGGAAGGCTAGAACCAGCTTCCAAACTGAAAAACATCAAGGCAGTGTCCCTCAAAAGGTCAAAGGGGCCAGATGTCTCAGAAAATGAGCAAACGTGGAAATGGTGGCAGGAAAAACAAAATACGAGTTCTGGAGTTGCTTCATGTGCTTTTATTATAGATGGCTAAGTTAGGTAGAAATATTATAGTCAGGCAGGGCTGGGCCCTTGGGAGAGTCAATACAGAAGGTGAAAAGACATTACTACTGTGGCCAGAGGCGTATCTGTGGGAGGCCAGGCCTCAAGATAAAGCCAGAAAGACTGGCCACTTGCTTCTCCAAGAGATAAGATAAATCGTAACGCTTGGTCCAATAAAGTCTAGATAGACATCATTCACCTTAGTGACCAAGACACTCGGGCCCATCTCTTCCTGAAAAGTTCTTCATTCTTTCTATGCTCACTTGTGACACGGCTTGTTTCCCATTGGATCAATTTACTTAAGTTACTACACTTGTAATCTTATTGGTCGTAATTTTGCCCCACATTGGACCCACCTTGTGACTTTGCTCTCTATAAAGCCTCTGTACAGTGGGGTCCAAGGCAACTGACTCATGTCCCCACCTGCCTCTCAGGAGCTGTATCTCCCTCCATAAAATTTCCTACTCTTAAGCTCTGTTATTCCTTAGACTCATTCTTTGATTTTGGGGAACACGAACTCAGCGTATCAAACATCTAACAGTTTTGGAGTTATATTTACTGAATATTACTTGGTGGCCCTATATCATTCTTGATGTACTTTATGAAATTTAGGATTATGTCTTAGCCTTCACATGAAGTATGAAGGTAATTTCCAACCCACGCTGAACATGCTAAGAATCTCCATGGCTTTGTGTGAGGAGGCTCTTTTAGAGGCAGCAGTGTCGGAAAGTCAGCATAGAAGACCCAGGAGTAGTAACAGAAGTTAGTGACAGGGCTACGATTTGGGGCCAGGATTCCTTGTTTCGACATGTGCAGCTCTTGAGGTTTTTGGGGTGAAGGACCACAAGAAGATGAGAAAATAAAGAGACAAAGCTGGGATCAGGTAGAGCCCTTACTCTCTGAATGGGGGGAAGGAACTGCCCTGTCCCTGTCAGGGCATTTATTTATACATTTAGCAACACAGCGTCACATGGTACCTCTCTGCCTAGCCACCCACTGCTTGGATTGTCTAGGGGCTTGGGGTTTTTCTGGGCTGTAGCAGCTTCTTTATGTGGCTTGCCTGGCCACTCTTTGTTCTTGGGATGGCCATGCCCCAGCCCTGCATGTGTGATCAATTTCCAACTTGAATAGCTCTCCACAATTTCTGGTTTGGAACATGGTTTGAGGCAACAGCAGCTCCCTACCTAGCCTGGCTTCTTCTCTCTGGGCTATTCTCAAGATGACCCTTCTCGGCCCCTTGGGGGCCACTTACTAGTGTGTAACTGACTGAGCTCCATGCCTGGGACCTGTGTGTGTTCTGGACACCCTGTCTGTCATCCATGTGGCTCTACTAGGCACTGAGAATGTGACAGTGGCTGGCGGTTTGTGTCTGGTGGTTCTGTTGTCTTTTTCCCTTTGTATGTCCTGCTGGTTGTTTCTCCCTGATCCTTCTTTTGGGGTGTTTCCTGGTTCTGCTTTCCACCCTTGCTCTCTTAGCTGGCCTGGACCACTGCAGCCTCTTTTGGAGTTTTACATCTCAGCAGCTTTCAGGCTGAACCTGGCCCAGAGTTACTCCATTGTATAAAGCACTAGGTGATCTGAGTTACTCCATCCTGAGCACAAATGTCAGGGCACTCCTTGTATGAACGGGTAAACCACCATCTCTTGGGGATACCACAAGGCACAAACTGGTAACTTATTCATGTTAATAAAAAGTTAACTTATTGAATTCAATTGGAAGCACATGGACATGGGGATATCAAGTCATAGCAGAAAAACCAGACACATGAACTTATCAGACACACCAAATGCAAATCCCTTATCCAAGAGATTTTTCTTGGTATTGTTTTTTTTTTTTATATACTGGGAATTGAACTCATGACCTCACACTTGCCACAGAGGTGCTTATACCACTGAGCTAAATCCCTGGCCCTGATTTTGGGAGTTTTGCTATACAGTTAAGGCTGGCCTTGAACTCATTACATAGCTCTGGCTGGTCTCAAATTCAACAAACTCCTCCTGCCTCAGTTTCCTGAGTGCTGGAATTAAAAGCATGAGCTACCACATCTGGCTTGGTACTGTGATTAAACCAGGGCCTTCAAATTGAGGTACATCCCCAGGGTCCCTCATCCCTTTTAAACAGGGTCTTGTTAAGTTACCCAGGTGAGACTTGATCATAGGTGTGTGCCACAGTGCATGGCTATCATCTGGGACTTATGAGAAACACCTCACAGCTAGCACAGTGGCACCACTGGCCCATCACTGGGTCATCTGCTTACCACAAGCTTTGCTCAGGAAAAGTGCCAGGCAAGGAACCTCCCATCTGTCCCTGGGGCTTCAGCTTGGGATGGTTTCTTCTGCTTATGATGCCACATAGCTTGCTTCAAATCGATACTTTTTTTTTTTTTTGTCTTTTTGAGACAGGGTGTCTTGGTTACTTTTTTCTTGTTGCTGAGACAAAATACTTCACATCCAAAGTGAGGGAAGAAAAGTTTTATTTAGCACATGGTTTGTGGAGGTTTCAGTCCCTGAGCAGCTAGCTGGGTCCAAGGCAGAGTGGCACATGGTAGGGGGCAACAGTTCAAGGTCACAGAAGACAGCACAAACAAGAGCAAATGGGGAAGAGCACAGAGAGGAAAATTTCTGTCCCTTGTATTCTATGTAGGCCACACCTACCTGGGTGTGGTAATCACACCCATAATCCCAGCATTGGACCATTCACAAACTCTAGAAGTCCATCTCCCTGACTGTATAAGGCTTGGGGGACATCCAGACTCAGAGCAGTCTCACTGGGCAGTTCAGACTGGCCTTGAGCTCACTTCATAGCCCAGGCTGGTCTCAAACTCACAATGATCCTCCTGCCTTGGCCTCCCGAGTGCTGGGATTACAGGAGTGTACTAACACGTGCAACTCAAACTGGCTTTTGAAACTGCCTGCCATCCAGACTGGATTTTGCCTTTGCTTAACAGCTTTGTGCCTTTGCCTCCACGTAATGCTAACGGGTTCCAGCCCATAGACTCCAATCTGTCCTCTCAGAGAAGTCTGCATGCCTTATCAGCAGCTGCTTTTTACTCTCTATAGGCCCCTTTAAACCCTGCACTGCGTTTAGCTCTTTATTAACCTTCTGTAACATATAGTATTGTGTGTAGTGTGTGACTTGAGTGTTACAGATATTAAAAATTAAGCCAGGAGGAAGGGTATGGTGGCACATGCTTAGAATCCCAGCACTCAGGAGGCTGAGGCAGGAGGATCTAGATTTTGAGGCCAGCCAGCGTTTTGTATCGAGTTCTAGGGCAGCCTAGACTAGAGGGAGACCTTGTGCTTTGTTTGCTTGTTTTGTTTTTACACTGGAATAAAACAAACCATGATTGCCTTTCTTACTTCTATCACGTGAGATCTAGAATATTTAACCAGTTAATGCTGGTGAGACAGAAGTAGCTTGTGAATTTACTGTTATTCAATACATTCTGAAGAAGGAAGCCTGGCTGGTCTATGTTAAGGTCACAGAGCACCTGGAACATGCCCCCCGTTCTGGTCCAGCTGTGTCTGCTTCTCACTGGCCACCCTGTGCAAGGCTTGCCAGCACAACCAGAATCGAGAGCAGAAGGTAGTGGAGGCCAAAGGTCCAGAAGTGTAGTTTTGGGTCTTTGGAGATGGAAATTTAGAAAGGAAGAGGATCCATGCATTATTTACATCTGTTTTGGCCCCCAAGACCTTCCAGGCCTCCACCCAGACCCAGGGCTTGCTCCTTTATGTCCCTGTGTGGGCTCCCTCGCCTTTGTTCCTGTCCCCCTGGGCCTCCTTCCTGCTTTTCTCCCATGAGTCCATTCAGGGGTTCCTAAGAAGCCCTCCCAACAGCCTTCCAGCCCATCTCCTCCTGCACGGGAGGGTTGAGGAAAGCCAGTGTCAGCAGCGGGTTGTGCACCTTAACCCCACCTGAACCCTCTCTGCGGGGTTTGGGCCTGCAGGTTGCACTGGACCAGGCCCCAGCAGGCACCTGTTAAACGTCCTGTCCCCAAAGGCCCACAACTACGCATCTAGACCCTTGGCCTCCACCACCTTCCGCTGGCGATTCCGGTTGTCCCAGCAGGCCTCGCGCGAGGCGGCCTTGGGAAGCACCCAAGAGGCTTCGCGCGGGCGAGGCAGGAGCCACGCGCCGGCCCCGCCCCCTCACGCCGCTCTGGCCGAGGGCCGCGTGCGGGGCGGGGCTTCTGGAACGGCTGCCTCCGTCCGTCCCGCGTGGTTTTTCCCGCCAGTCGGACCAGGCGGTTGAGGCGGCCGCTAGCATGCTGCGCCAGCTCACCGTCGACCAGATCAATGACTGGTTCACCATCGGCAAGACCGTGACCAATGTGGAGCTGCTGGGCTCGCCGCCAGCCTTCCCCTCTGAGGTGGCCAGGGAGGAGACGCAGTGCAAGGAGGCGCCCCCGTCCCCCACTTCTGCTTCTACCCCGCGGGGCCTCCGGAGGTGGGCGGAGCACCCTGGGAATGGGGTGCCCTGTGTGGGGTGTCCTGGGGGGCGGAGTGTCCTGGGGGTGGGGTGCCTCGAGGAGTGGGGTGCCCTTGGGGTAGGGGCCCTCTCGAGGTGGGGTGCGGGGGAGGCGGAGAGGGCCGGGCCGCCTCGTGCCTGCTGAGCGCGAGCCCTTTCAGCTGCCCCGGAGGCCACCAGCTGTCGCCCCACAGGTCCCACCCCTGACTCGCGCAGGCTGGCATTTCCCCACAGCAAGCAGTCTCCCCAGTATTCAGTCAAAAAATTCTCAAAAAAATTATGAACAGTGCCCGTAAGTTTGAAGCTGCTTTTAGCTTTCCAGAAGCACGGAGCAGCGTCCCCGTGTGACCCCTTTCCCTCCCACTTCCGGTGTCACTGCTGCCTGCGTCAGTGAGGAGCTAGTGCGGGCGACGGCAGCTTGGCGCTGACCTCGCGGTCGATCTGGGCGTGCGGACTGCGGCTTTGGCGATGGGTGCGGGGCGTCCGTCACCGTCCTGGCCGCCTTCGGGTCGGCCTCCCTGCCGAGGCAGCGCCTGTGCTGCACAGGTTCGCGCCCCGCCCCCCCAGCTGCTGGCGCCTGATTGCAGCCTCCGCCGCAGTAGCGCCTTGGCCAGCGTGCTGCGCAGCTGGAGTCACCGCAGTGTGTGAGCCGTTCGGATCGGCTTCGTGCGCTGCACCTGAGCGTCCTGTCCATCACACAGCTTTCCAGTCCCGCTGGGTGTACCACCCTTCCCTGCGGAAGCAGGTCGGGCAGCTTCCGAGTCTGCTGATTGTGAATAAAGGTGCTGTAGTCTAGGTGTGAGTTTTCGTGCGGACGTCATCTTTAGCTCATTTGGGTGAATGTCAAGGAGCAGGGATGCTAGGTTTTGGTTCCATTTTACTAATGCTCCTCCTCATGATTCCATGGCGTAAGTAGTTGCTCTGTTACTCTGCATGAATTTCGTGCAAATAAAAAAAAGGCAGGAGGACACGCCATCTGTCCTGTCTAGAACAGAGGTTTTAAGGAAACCCAGTATGAGAAGTCCCTCCATCTTGGAGCAGCTCGTCGTGTCCCTCCACTCAGTTTAGCACCCCGGGGGGAATTTGATTTAGTTCGTTAATTAAAAATTTTTTTTGAAGTAGTAGAGGTTGAACTAGGGAATCTCGACCAGCGAGTTCCAGCCCTTTTGTTACTTTTCATTCTGCGTGTTGCACAGGCCAGCCTGAACTTGCTGTCTTCCTGCTGTAGCCTCCCTAGTGGCCAGGATTACAGGTGTGCGGGTTGTGCCCAGCCATTGAAAAATGTTTAGTAGCCCTGGTTTTTTCTTTCTCTTTTTTCCTTTATTTTTTAAAAACATTTTTGGTGTTGAGGACTGAACCCAGTGGTTCACACTTGCCAGACAAGTTCTACCACTGAGCTAACTTCCCAGCCACATTTAAAAGTTTTTTTTTTTTTTTTTTTTAAAATGGGCGATTGAACTCATGACCTTGCCCTTGCTAGGAGGTGCTTAGGCCACTGAGCGAAGTCCCCAGCCCCTTTAAAATTTTTAAAAGTTACTCTTGTTAGGTTACATCTAATTAGGCCCAGACTGTGGATCAAGTTTTTGTGTGTTGCTGCAAGAGTTCTTTCAAGTGGAACCTTGGATCTTTGATAATTTTCTTCCTTAAAGGCATGGAGAGGACAAAGGAATCCCCTTGTGCAGCTCTAGAGTGGGTTTTTACAATACTTTTTTGCATAATTTGTTTCCTTGATTCATTCTGGTAAATGATCTTGTACCACCTCTTCTACTTATGTTCTAGTACGTCTTTATTTTTATTATATATTAGTAACATTTAACACATTATGGAAATTGACCACTTTTGTACATACAATAATGAATATATAATATTCATTTATGTATTAGTATAAATACTTTCTTCTCCTTCTGTTAAAGGATTGGTTTATTGAAGATCTTAGCCTTTCTGAAATAAAAATGAAGTTGTTATTTTCACTTAAAATATCCCAAATGTCAATATTTTTCTTACTTCTTTAAAACAAAACAAAACAATTTGTAAACTTTGGAAATCATTCTCCAGAGAACACTTTGTTAAGCTTAGTGGCCAAAATGTATTTCTTTAAATAATGGACCATGAGATAGGAATGTAATTATTACTGACCTTGTCAGAAACTAAAGTACTAAAGTAGAGATTAAAATGTTAATTTAAGCACTTGGGATTGGTTTTTAAAACTTCTAGTACTTGGGGCTGGGTGGTAGAATACTTACCTGGTATGAGTGGGGACTAGTTCTATCTCCAGCATTGCAAAAAAACAAAAACAACCCCCCCAAGACCCCCCAAAAGATTTCTATTCCTCTATCCCTACCTTTCCCACTCCAGAAACTGAGACTTTTGTAAAAAGTCAATAAAATTAATTTTAAAAAATCAATAAATTTTCAGGTTAATGAAGTGAAGACAAAATAAAAGCCCTATTTTGAGGGGCAGGTGGCACATGCCTATATTCTCAACACTTGTGAGGCTGAGGCAGGAGGATCACCATAAGTTCAAGGCCAGCCTGAACTACAAAGCAAGAACCTGTCTCAAAATTTTTTTTGTGTGTTATAAGATTCAACATGTGTAAAATTTCTTGGTAAAGTTGCCATGAACATTTTAATGAGGTGCTTAGTTACACGCAAACAGGTCCTGTCTGAGTAGTGCTGGCTGAGCACTCCTCAGCGAGTGTCTTTTCTTCCTGAGCTCTAGACAGATGATGCTTGGCATGCAGTTAGTACTCAGCTGTATGGTTTAGCTTTGGGTGAGGAACTGATTGTGGTGGCAGAGTCACCAATTCCCATATATCCCTGCAAAAAGTGTAGTTAACATTCTAAGTTAACCTATGGTGTCTGAGAAACAGATAGAAGCACACAGGCCTTTAAAAGGAGAGAACTTTCTGCCACGGAAGCCCTGAGATTTGCATGAATTGAAACAGTGTTTTTGGAAGGGTCTGAAGGGAAAGCGCAGGAGAACTGAGTCAAGCTGTCACTGAGTCAAGTGACAGCTTGAAGGAGCTGTCCGTCAGAATGCAGCCCTGCTCAGACCTTGGTTTTGGCCTTGTGGGACCCTGAGCAGAGAGCCTAGCTGAGGCCATCTGGACTTGTGAGATAATTTTTGTGGGTGTGTGTGTGTGTGAGTTTTCCAGTTCTGAGGACTGAACCCAAGGCTGTCTCCCCAGTTCTTTTTTAATTTTGAGGCAAGATCTTACTGAGTTGACTTTGAACTTGTGAGCTTCCTGCCTTGGCCTCCTAAGTAGTAGCTGGAGTTCCAGCATGTTCCCTGTACTTGGCAGTTTGTGGTGTTTTAAATTACTAGGTTTGTGGATGTTTGCTGTGGCTATATTGCATTTAGGTCACTAGCATGATGGTAGAGCTGGGGTTCAGACTGAAGGTGGGTAAGCCATGAAGCATGGCACGCACTGGGGGCTCAGATGGGACTTGATGTCTTTCTGGTAAGGGAGAGTGCCCCCTGAGGCTTGGACAGCAGAAGACGTTTGGCATGGGAGAAGGCGAGCTTCCTGGGTCCAGCTATCCTGTTTAACATGTGCGTGAGCCAGTCACCAGCATCATCCACGGAGCCAGTCAGCTTAACCGATAGTGACCACTAGCACTGAAAACAGTGAGCCGAACCAGCATGCATATTGCTCTGCACGTGTATGCTTGTGAGTAGATGGTCACCTTGGTTTGTTTCTTTCTGAAAACAATGTTGCTTAATTCCTGTAGTGGGCTTAGAGAGCTGGGAGTGGCAGGTGTTGGTGGACTGCATGTGAGTCCGGTGGAATGCTTTGCTGATTAATATTCCAGCAGTTGCATGGATTTCCTGGTTTCTCTTTTTCCACATGACACTGTATTGTAGTTTACATTGGACTGGTTGTATGTTACACTCTTTTGTCCTTGCTTTGCTGTTTCATTTTTTGTGATTAACTAGAAAAGTTAATATGTTTGCAATCCATAGCAATTATATGCATAGTGAGGAATTGGTACCACACACAACACGTCTCGGTTCTGACTTCCCCTCACTTTCCTGTCTCTTCACCTTGACTCATGGGGAAGACCTTGGTGCCATGTTGTGTTGCTTCATGTGTTGGCCCAGGGCATCAACTCTGGGTTCAGTGGGTCATGCTCTGTAGCCTCAGCTGTGGCTGGGAGCCACACCTCCTACCATCCTGCTTGTGCTGCTTCATGCCCACACCTTCTGCAGTGGAGCGTGTGGTGTCTTCATGGCTCTCATTAGCTCCTGGCTCATGACAGTCTTGTTTTTTTGTGTCTTTGACTCAACATCTTAGAATGAGGTTTGTTCCAGAGAGAGCTTCCACATGGAGAGCTTTCCCATCCCAGCGTCTGATGGTTTTTCTCCCAGATCCCTTGTTCCTCATCTCAGCTTGCACTTGCCATGTTTTCTGGAAGCAGAAGGCTGGCCTTGCTGGGCATTGTATCTGGTGGCAGGCTCTCAGCAGACTTTGAGGAAGTCAAGGAATAGCGAGGTTAAGAAGCTGACCCTGTGTATTTTAGAGAATGTGGATGTTTGATTCCTTTAAATTTTGTAGTGTTGCCTTTCAGTATTTAGTCTTCACTCAGATGTTAGCATAGCTCTGTTGCCCTCTGAGGATTTCTGTTTTCTTGTCACTGTACTGTAGTATGGATCTTACATGTCCCCAAAGGCCTGTATGTCGAAGGCTTGGTCTCCATAGCAGTGCTGTTGGGAGATGGTGGAACTGCTGAGAGGAGGCCATGGGAGGTGCCGAGATCATCAGGGCTGTGGCCTTGAAAGGGATCACAGGACTCATTTTTCTGGCTGTGAGCCCAGTGGTTCTACTCTCCATGTAGCTGCACTGTAGGGCGCTGCCCTGCTACAGGACTTCAGTATAGGGTCAGATGGTCATGGACTGGAACCTCTGAAACTGAGCTAAAATAAACCTTTTTTAAATTACTTGTTGAAGACTGGGCATGGTAGTGCATCTCTGTAATCCT